TATATTGCTACATAAGTAAGGGAAGTTGACGATTGAAAAGTTGAATTCATCTCGTTTATCATAAAGCTTTGTAGTTAGGTTACCATTAACGTCTTTTTTTCTAGTAAAATATCTAAATATGAAACAGATGTATCAGACTCTGTGGTATTTATTTCAAGCTTACTGAGCTCACTGGGATATATCGAGTCGACATATGAATGAAGGTAAGTATTATTAATTGATAATACGTCGTCGATTTATCGAAATGTTGAGTTGAAGGCTACAGCAAGTGTTTTCTTCTTCTCATGTAGAAGTTTTTGAATAATTTCTGCTTCATATGCATACAGAAATAGGTCTGCTAATAACGGGGCGCAATTGGTACCCTTGGGAATTCCAACAGATTTTTGGAAGACCTGATCTCCAAAATCTACAAAGATATTGTCAATCAGAAACTCAAGCATCTTTTTAAAGATATACACGCTATATAAATGCGATTTTTTATGTGAAACAAAATGATTAAATGATTTGAGAAACATGAGGTGTAATAAAAAATAATTACTTTCCACAAAGTTTTACTAAATAAGTCGTTGTAATAACAAAACAATTAAGCAAGATCTGCAATTAAGAATTCAGCCTATTCATGAATATTGATGAAGGAAGTGCGTAAACAGTATATAGACACGCATGTCCGCGGGAAATCATAGACAACGAGGTACGTTGCATTTTGACTACTATTTTGTATCTGTCATTACAGAGTAGATGGTTAATAATGGTTGTTTTCAAAGATAAGTATCTTTAAACATAAACCGTATGCCATCCATGTCAAAATCTATTTTGTATACCAAACGGCCTACCTCGTTTTCTTGACGCCATTTTTGTTTATCAATCTAAAAGTAGCGACGGTGTCACATGATGCATGAATTTAAATATAGCATTACTTTCCTAGTAGGATAATAAATAATTATAATTTGAGATCTTTGTAATGCGTTCATTTCCAATTGTGTAATTTACAATATTTTCGTAACTTTATTTGGTAAACAAAATAAATAAATTTCCAACTTTATTTTTAACTGACGCAAGTTATAGCGTGTATATCTTTAATATCAACTTCAAAGCACTTGTGTGTACAATCAGAATGCTTTTTAACAAAATAATTTTGCAATTGACCAATAACAAGGTAAGTATATTTGCGAGTTCCATTTTGATTGAAAAAGCAAATGTCTATGATGTCAAAAGGCCTGGACTCGAATTTATCGTGGAGAATGGTTGTATAAAGTGTTGAAAAGTCGTAAGTTTTGATGTTATTGATTTTAGTAATATTTTGCGATTTCAAATTTTCTTAATGTTTTTAGGAGTTTTTAAGTATATAATCACATCTAATTTACATCACTTCTCGAATACACTGTTATACAGTACTCCTGCATGAGGTTTCTCCTTTATTACAGTAAATATTTTAGTGAAGAGTAAAGAAAGAGGCTTTGTAGAACATTTACTGGAACCCGCTGTATCTTTGTAAGGATTTTTATAAAGTTTAGGAATCCAGTAAAGGTATGGTAATTCAAATTCATTTTGATTGTTAGGAATATTAAATATATCTAAATCGAACCTATGATTTTGAAGAATTTCCTCCTTAGAAAGGGAGCTCTGGGTGTAAATTGGATTCCCACCTGCAAAATTAAATCCTAGTTCCTCTAAAATACAATTCAAATAATGAGCCTTACAGAGAAAGACTATTAGTATGTTGTTACCAGCTTTGATGAATAGCCACGCCCTCTTTCAAGGGGAGATAATTCAGTAATAGAGAAAATTTAATTACATCTTTTAAAAATCTTCTCAAGAACCACTGGGCCACAAAAAATTAAAACTTACAGGAATCCTTATTTACATAAAATAGTTTCAAGTTTGTTCAAATGAAGACCTATTGTGGTAGAGTGGGGCCACAATGGGGGATCAAAATTTTACAAAGGAATAAAAAGGGGGAAAATCTTTAAAAATCTTATGTTTAAGAACAGCAAAGCCATGAGTAGTCATATTGATATGGAAACATCCTCAGGTAGTGGAGATTCAATTTTTTCAAATGATGACCCCTGGAAGTTGTATGGGGTCACAATGGGAGATCAAAGTTTAAGACTGGAATCAATAGGAAAAGATCTTTAAAAGTTTTCTTCTCAAGAACAGCAAAGTCATGAGTAGTCGTATTGATGTGGAAGCATCCTGAGGTAGTGTAGATTTGAATTTGTTCAAAAGATGACCCCGGGGGTAGCGTGGGGATCAAAGTTTTGCATAGGAATAAAAAGGAAAAATCTTTAAAAGTTTTCAAGAATAGCAAAGCCTTGATTAGTCATATTGATATGGAAACATCCTCAGGTAGCGTAGATTTGAATTTGTTCAAATGATGACCCCCGGGAATAGGATGAGGCCACAACTGGGAATCAAAGTTTTACATAGGAATAAATAGGAAAATATTTTTTAAAATCTTTTGTTCAAGAACAGCAAAGCCATGAGTAGTATGGCTTTGTAGTAGTGATATGGAAACATCCTCAGGTAGCGTCGATTTGAATTTGTTCAAATGACCCACGGGGGTAGCGTGGGACCACAATGTGGGATCAAAGTTTTGCATAGGAAAAAATCTTTAAAAATATTCAAGAACAGCAAAGCCATGATTAGTCATATTGATATGGAAACCAGCCAAGATAGTGTAGATTTGAATTTGTTCAAATGATGACGCCCCGGGGGATAAGGTGGTGGTGCCACAATTGGGAATCAAAGTTTTACATAGAAATATATAGGAAAATATCTTTAAAAATCTTCTGTTCAAGAACAAGAAAGCCCCGAGTAGCATGGCTTTGTAGTAGCGATATGTAAGCATCCTCAGGTAGTGTAAATTTGAATTTGTTCAAATGATGACCAGCGGGGGTAGGGGACACAATATGGGATATATAGGGAAAAATCTTTGAAAACTTCTCAAGAACAGCAAAGGTAGGATTAGTCATTTTAATATGGAAATATCTACAGGTAGAATAGATTCAAATTTGCTCAAATGATGACCTGTGAGGGTAAGATGGGGCCGCAATGGGGAATTAAAATTTTACTTCAGAATATATAGGAAAAACGTTTAATTTTAAAATCTTCTTCTTGTTAAGAGCATCAAAGCCTTGATTAGTCATATTTATATGTAAGCATAATCAGGTAGTGTATATTCAATTTTGTTCAAATGATAACCCCCGGGGGGAAGGTGGGGCCACAATGGGGGATCAAAGTTTTACCTAGGAATACATCGGAAAAATAATCAAAAATCTCCTTCTGAAGAACAGGAAGGCCAATTTTAGTCATATTAATATTGAAGCATCTTCAGGTAGTGTAGATTCAAGTTTGTTTAAATCATGACCCCCTGGGATAGGGAGGGGCCACAATAGGAAATCGAATTTTTACAAAGGAATATATAGGAATTTTTTTCTTTAAATCTTCTGTTCACGAACAGCAAAGCCATTAGTTATACTGATATGGAAGCATCCTCAGGTAGTGTAAAATTCAAGTTGCCCCCCACCCATGTAAACTTTTCAATACTGAACTGATAGCTAATGTGCTTAGGTGAGCAATGTGGCCCATGGGCCTCTTGTTTATTGATATGTTTCTCGTTCTTACCCCAGCTAAGAAAATGATCTTGATTTTTTAAATAATTAAAACTGTGGAAACTTATTTTATCAAATGTATTAAAATAAATCAAAGAAAGTGCGTATACTTGCTATAAGAGTCTAAGAACATCGTTATAGCCTTGTTATGTTTCCTTTATTGGGGATGAAACATTAATCATAATGAGAAGTATAGTATATTAAGAATTTTCCTAAGAAAACCATGCAGTTTTTTTTTTGTATGAAAAATGACAGAATAATTATTCTATGGGGTCATTTTTCTACAATCCACACGGAGAAAAATGATGGAAGGCTAATTCTCTGTTCATCATGCGATTCAGCCATCTTTAAAAAAAATTATTGGTTGTCCTCTCCCGACCGACTGTCTAAAAATGGCTCGACTCAAAACTTTTTTTAACCTCCAGGAAACAGTTATTTTTGAATAAAAAAAATATGTTCCCCCTATCTATACCTACCCAACTTTTTTGTCCTGATTCGGGAGAGGGCAAGCAAACAATTTTTAAAGATGGCCTCGATTTTTTTTTTGGGGGGGGGGGGGGGAGGAGTATTTATTTCTATGATTTCGGACTTGCTCCACTGTGTGCCCAAAATGATTCAAAAGAATATTCCATTCTGTAAACAACATCTATTAGCATCATGGGTAGTTGCTGTTTTTATCTGTATTTTGTCATCTATTCATAATTTAATAAAAGAAAAGTACGATTCATTTTGTCTACTATCAAGTTAAATGGTCAGTGATTAGCACGATAAATAGTGGGTTTATTTTAATTTATTATTAATACTTGGATCTAATGTTAGTCTTTTAAGATAAATTTTTACTAGGTAGATCTTTAAATTTTAGCTTAATGCAATTGCAATTACTCATTCGGGTACAGTTAAAAAAGGTTGTTATCCGTTTAAAACAAGGTTGGGGCTCTTTATGGATTAAACCCTATACATATAAACATGCACAACAAACTCATTTCAGTTTTGTTTGTTACCACACACTTTATCAATAATCATTGATTAAATATTGTAAAATTATTCTCAAAATGTTTTGGAACTCGTTGCATGAGTGAAAAGCATAAAAGAAAAGCTAATAAAAGTGACTTTGTAAATTTATCACTAGACCATTTTCTCGATGATGTGTACGAATTTTACCGATCGAAAAAAAAAAAACAAAACAACAACAACAACAAAAATTAAAAGTTCCAAAAAAAAAAGTTTCAATTGGCATTCAATATAGAGATGAATATTCTAAACGTCCGTTATATATGAGTGTGAAGCAGATCTGTGGAGAAAGGAGCGGATCTACATAAACTGTTCTATCATGTTGTCAGCAGATTGACCGTACAGCGACTCTGTATCATCACCACCACGTCATCAAATATGTTACTCCATTCCACACCGGAAGCAAAGTCCCAAAAATGTCAACATTTTTTTCTTCAAAGTACATTTCTTGGTTACCAAAACCTGTAGAAAAACGGTTGGAATGTAAAAGACGTAATTGGTTTGTACAGTTGTGGTTATTAAAAACATGAGCATGTTTTTGAAAGCTTTGCATTATACCTTTGAAAGATCTATGATTGGTGATCGTCCAGACGTGCTGATGAAGGCAAAACGGAACGGGTATGCAAGGGGCATATTGTGTACTGGTTCTCTGCGAGGTGTTATCTGCAAATAATTATTACATGTTTTAAAAATATGACAATAATCATTCACTCTTTCAAAAAAAATTGCGATGAGAGTACCCTCCCATGGTTCTTATTCTTTTCTATTTTAACTAAAATTTTATTTTACCTTTGTTTCTGGGAGTGTCATGTTGTCGATTTTAAACAAGAAAAGCTTTCTTGGTATGAATGATTCTAATTCTTCCTCCTGACAGTTTCGCACATCAGTATTCTGTAAATTAAACATAAAATGACAAAAAATGTTTTTTTTTTTTTTTTTTTTTACAAAGATGAAAGTTTAATGAGTGTTTTGTTCAAATAAGAATTAATGGTTTGGGCGTTTTGATTCAGGAAAAAAAATCATCAAAATAAAAAAAAAATCTTAATAATATCTTTAATGTCTAGTGATCTTAACCTTCAAAAAAATACTCGAAAAAACATGGGATCTTCCTTATTTGATTAATTAAATTAATCTGATGTTAATGTTAATGTTCGATTTAGATATATACATGTCAGAGTTTATCTAAATGTTACATGTATATACCTTTATCTCATTGTAGAGAGAGTCAATGTCTCTGTGTGTTACAGCTGTTGTTATGGATTCCTGAAATAAACACGACATTTTAAAATGTAACCAAAAGTCAAATGAGTGCATCACCCCATCATACATTTTACAATTACATACAAGAAGGCTTGGAAAGAAACGGTGAAGTACACGATGTTTATTCTTATGACGATTCGGCTTTTCATATACTAGTGTATTGTGTTCTCAGGCGCGGATCCAGGAATTTTTTTCGGGAGGGGGGGGGGGTTCCATCCCAGTCAAAAAAAATTCCAACCTAGAAATTTCTTGACAAGCAAAAAAAACAAAAAAAAAAAAAACAAAAAAAAAAAAACAAAAAAAAAACAACAAAAAACAAAAAACAAAACAAAGAAACAAAACAAAACAAAAAAAGACACCCCCCCCAAAAAAAAAATAACCCCAAATCAAAACAAAACAAAACAAATACTAAATAAAAAAAAAACAAACAACAACAACAACAACAAACAAACAAACAAACAAAAAAAAAAAGAAAAAAGAAAAATCCATTTCCAAAACGTGAAAAACACCTATTTCGTGGTGGTGATTGTGGGGTCCATGTTTTCAAGGGGGGTCCAAAGTCATTTTTTATTTACTTCAGTATATATTTTAGTAACCCTACAAATTCCAGGGGGGGGGGATCCGGATCGCCCCCCCCCCTTAGATCCGCGCATGGTTCTGATGTAAATTATTTTCTTCAAATCTTTTATCTTGTAATGACTGCGCACTGTTTTTTTTCTTTTATATATGAAGTGTACAGTATGTGCTTGTGAAAAGCTATTACATATATATATATATATATATATATATATATATATATATATATATATATAACATAAATACTCCAAATGTGGTATGAAACTTACAAAGACTTTGCTTTCCATGGCTTTTATTTCTTCAATCTTTTTTAAGGATTGCATAGTCTTCTCTAGAGATTTCATTTCTTTCTATTATAATTAAGAATCGTTATAATTAAATACAGGATAATTAAAAAAAAAAAGTATACTGCATTCGTTTATGTAGTACTTTTGCGCAACTTATTCAAGGTGAGACATTGTATTCTACCATTGTAATTCAAATCTAGTACTCTGAATTAAACAAAAAGAAGAGAGGATCCAAGAATTTTCTAGAATTAAAAAAAATTAATTTTTTTCTTAGTACCATGTATTACTGAATGTTTAACTTGATAGTAAAATACAACTGTTACTCACGCACTGCTTGTTTTCTTCTGTCGTCAAATAAAAGTAGAACGGTTCACTCGCCATTCCTGTTACCGATGTTCCATTCCTTAAAAATGAAATATGACAGACTGTTCAATTCAGTTCAAAATATAAAAACTTCGAAATGTCAAAACTTAGGTTTATATCATAATGTATAAAACATAATTATTGAAATAAAAGCGTAATTACATGGTAAAAACGGTGCACACTGTTCCTTCACGACGGCGTGCTTTGATTACAGCATCTATTATTACGTCACTAGAATACTTCACAAGCATTGTGACGTCATAATTCATTTCAATAAATAGAAAAAAACCTAATAGTTCAGTCATTCCACAGAAAATTTGAGAAAAATTAAATTTTAATGCAGATTTGTGGATAAGCAATTGGTAACTCACATATAAGTTTAAAAACCAAGTCTCTGACGAGACTGTAGCTCTACTGGTTTGTACTTATAACAAAGGAATAGGAAAGTAGCGCTTGGACTTGAAACTTTGCAACAGTAATAAATTGAATATTGATCCTTGGTTTAATCTCTTTTTGTGGCAAGATTTATTGCAATCAGACTAAAACGGTAGGTGGAGAATCCTCTAGGAGTAGAAGTTGAAGAAAACACCTGGATTAGATGTTTCCAATGAAATGCATAAAACATAAAAACACTTTTTAAATCCATTCTTGCTTGCTGAACCTTTTTAATGCCGTGTTTACATCTGAAAAGTACTCTTCAAAATGGCCAGAATGCTTTATTTGTCTCATACATTACAGATAGGTTTCTCCAAGAAATCTCGCACTTCAGATCATATTTTTGTGGGAAATGTTTAATTAACAAATATCTTAAGGCTGGCGACAAGAAATTATTTGCCATCTTTGTTGATTTTCTCTAGGCATTTGCTAATTTATTCATTTGGCATTATGCATGTTAAATGTTGGAATGACCCAGGCATGCATATCATTTAAGAATGCATCCAAATACTTTAATACTCAGGAGGCACTTACCGTCAAGTTGTAAAAACATAAGACCGTCCCCGTTCTTAATATACACCTGCAAAGCAATAATCATCTATGTAATCGCTTTCAGTCATCAAGCTGAACAGCCCCGGACTGAGGGTGATAAGTTCAAGAATCGCTACATGAAATCGCCTTTCATTCCCAGCCATTTACAGAGACTGACTATGGTGTAGGAAACATTTGTGCTATTATATTTGTTGCAATATTGGGTCCAAGTTTTATTCACCCGTGATGAATTTCACTATATCTTAACAGAGGTGACGGGTACAGGGAGGCATTAATATACAAGGAATAACGTCTTTTTGACCATTGGTGGAAATTGTCAGAAAAAGGATACAGTCTACAAAGTTGTTAAAACATTGGACAACAAAACAGGACTACGCAAGACCCTAATGTTACAAAGTAGTATTCTTGACCTTGACTTCCTTATCCAGCAGAACGTAAATGTAATGGTTTGTCCTACCTGCTGTTTCCCTTGATCGTTCACGCACTTGATCATGCACATATTCTAATGAAATGGATCGTCATCTACATAGCCGAATATATTCAGCAAGACTTTCTGAACGATTTGATTGTATCAGTGAGACTTTTTAAAATCATTCATCGATCCCCATAGGGGTCAGAGCTGTTATTGATTATATGTATGCGAGTCTTCCGAATTTTGATATCCACAAATCAAATTTCTGCAGACATTTTAGACATTTAAGTTTTAATTTACTAGTGTTATCGAACAGTAAAATGCACGAAACGAAATTATCAGAATCGTATACTGTAAAGGTGGTAATATTGGCGAGAGGAAAATTTGACGATTTTCTAATCTTAAAAAATTGACGAGTGGAAACTTTGACGATTATTTCACTGTGCTACATAAACACTAAGGAGTTACTCGTATCTTCTTTGCTTCCTTACATTCACAAAGAATTGTTTCTCCCTTGCTACAAACTTTCATCAAATATTTCTTACAAGGTAATAATTCAAGCTCATATCTATTCGTTAGTAAGCATGTTACAATGTTTAAAAATAAGGATACTAACTGGATTGTTTTGGTGCATGAAAAAATTATACGGAAAGTGAAATTATCCAACCAGCATTCAACGCCGCCGGTACTAGGACTCGCTAGTTTGTCCGGGCAATGTCCCCCTGTATACATAACTTTCAGTTGCCATCAACAATTAAAGTAAAAAAATTTGTTTGAATAGCATTTATTCAATTATTTTATTAATGACAAGGCAGTACTGCCCGATCGAGGCAAGAAACCCGCCGATCAAACGGGGCTTGGTAGTTATTACATGTCACCTGATAACGATTAAGGTGTTTGTTGGTATCTTTCAAACATTCTACTGCGAATAAATAACATATTATTTATTTCTCTGTGAATACTTAAGATTTATTTTTAAAATTGTTTTCCTAAACATGTGTCTTAATAAAGAAGATGGGTGAACAAGGCGTGCAGAATGCCTATAGCTTCAGATATTAATAAAATCATATTCAATTTGTGAATTAAGTATTTAAAATAAAGTTCTCATTATTGAAATTTATGAAATTATGATTAACAAAACTTTTCTGAGAAAAAAGATCTCGGAAAAAAATATTCTTTTATTAAAAAAATAAAATGCTATTCGTGGGATTCGAACCCCTATCAATAAAAATCCGGAGTATCATATTGTTTCGAGACCAACACGCTAACCACTACGCCACGCAGCTCCTGACGAATAGTGGCATTTAAATCATATTTGTGATATGACCCTTGACTTAATGGACTTCAAGTATTTCTCGGAAAGATGCGAATGCTTTGTCATAAAAGTGTACTTTTAAGGTATAGTGGGTCTTTGCTCCATGTTTTTGTAAACCAAAAAATGTATATTTTTATGCACACTTTTAGGATCAACTTTCAAAAAAATGGAGCGAAGACCCACTCATATCGAAAAATTTTGTTAAAGTGTGAGAAAATGATCCTTTTTGTCCTCTTTAGTGTGTGTATGCTATTTCGTAGGCAAATAATTTCAGTCTTTGTGAGATTTTTGTAAATTGTAGAGATTTAGCATAAAATATACTTTAATGTTAGATGAAATATCAAAGAAAATTTTTATATAATTGAGATTTTATTTTTCACTTCATGTTTGTCGCACTATAGGCACTTCGCCCGCCTTGTTCACCCATCTTCTTTCTGGTCGCCCGCGTGGCGCAGTGGTTAGAGCGTTCGCTCTTACGTCGCGGGTTCGAATCCCACTGTGGGACGTGGAGACCGATCCTTCGGATGAGACCGTGTAAACCGAAGTCCCGTGTCGCAGTAGGTGCTGGCACGAAAAAGATCCCTCACTGCTCAATGGCCCTAAGTGCCGAGTATAGGTCAAAATTTGTAGCTCTCCACCGCGGCAAGTGGTGGCGTCTCCATATGAGTGAAAAATTCTCGAGAGGGAAGTTAAACGATAAACAAACAAAAAATAATAAATTTCTGTTCGGAATCGAGATGCACTACACTTGTATTTATAAATGAACGAAAGTGAAAAAAAATTGGCGAGATGAAACTTTGACGAGTTGTAATGTATACTTATTCGTCAAATTCGTCAATGTGTTTCCTCCTCGCCAAACTTTCCACTTTTGCAGTATATGGCAATATCATTTTTTGAATCTATGCATGAATCTATTAATTTTTTCTACTTGAATATTTTTTCCCCAATATTTTCCTCATTTAATTCCATACAAAGCTTGATCACCTATTTTTTTGGGAAGGATTTTATTTATTAAATTTGAATTTACACAATATGTATAGGTGTCCGTTTAATAACTCGACGACATTAAGGAAAGGAAATTTCTAAAGGATTATTTCTTTCGTAATCCAATGTTACATTTTGCTCCATCCTAAAGTAATCCCATGATAGACATGGAGATAAAAGCGCAAAAAGCTAACTATGGCACTGCTGTCATGAGTACATTTTCCAAATGAATATAAATGTTTGCTTACGTGTGTATTGTCTCCATTGCAATTCCGGGGCCAGCATTTGACAATACAAACTATACTATACAGGGAAGCTCTCTGGGTTTGGTCTTTTCCGCCCGAAAGCTAAAAATTCTTGAAAAGACTGAGCAATTGTTTTACCTCACAATAAATGCCTTTCCTTTTGATTGTGGGTTTGTCGCTTTTTTGTAAAACAAAGAAGTACTCTCTACCCAGTAATGCTTTGTTCCAAGTTTGATTGAAAATGGCATAAAGATACTTAATTGATATACTCATGAATTAGCTGATCATGATACCTTGGCTTATATAGAAACCCTGTTTTAAGGAATATAAGCAGTTTGTGAACATTCAATCTTAAACATGCATTTCTATGAAATCAAAATGAAAATGAAACATGGTATTTAACTAAACTTATATATAAACATAAAATTTCCGTGTCCTTAAATAGCTTTAAAAGGGTTATGAATACACTGTTTGTCGAGTTCTTGGAGTATTGTGTTTTCAGATTATAGTAACATAAGGATGTATCTTAAGCCCTCGGAAATTCGATTTAGTCAAGATACCATAGGTAGTACTTTTGGCTGTTACACTTCACATCCTTTCAGACCAATAGGAAATACATTAGATGATATTCTATTAGGGAGATGTGACGTAAAATCTATTCCTACTATATCTGTGATGCGCAAATATGGTCTCTGGTTCACAGCAGACAACAGAAGGTTGTGGGTATTTCAAATGGCAGAAAAACGAGGAAAATGCG